ATTTATTACTGGCCTACGTAACCATTCATGCTGCTTTGTTACTCCTGCCTTAGCAAAACAGAGGGCTCCACAGATAATTAATAGACAGCATTGCTAATCCTGTTGGGAGATGATTAGCAATTAAAACTCCTAATTAAGTCTATGCATAATTCACTGAAATTACACTTTGTGTACACAACGGGGAGGTTTCCTTTGCCTTCAACAAACATGCTCTGGTATCTTCATCGCCATGGCAGGGATGCAGGATGGCCAGATGCAGGGCAGGGGGGAGCCGGGGGTCTGGGTGCAGGACGGGACCCTGTCACCCACATGCTTTTTTTGGCGGCAGCGGCTCTGCGGGTGGCTCCCTCTCCTGGGCTCCGTCCCAAAGAGCAAGCCCAGGCACAGTGCAGGAAGGTCCCCACGCTCAGCACCAGTGGCTGCAGGCCCCCGGTCACCAGCAGTTGGGGGCATCCCTGGAGAAGGGTTGTCCCCGCATGCTTTGGAGGACACACGGGACAGGGAGGGACCAGGGCTGCCCCCGCACAGGCACAAGGCAGGGTCTGAGCTACCGTATCACAGGCTGCCTTCCCAGCCCAGACAGGTCCCTCGGACCCCAGCCAGAAGCAACCAAGGGGACACAGTGGGAGGCTGGTAGGATCCCGGGAAAGCCACGGGGACAGCTCTGGAAAGCTCTATACAGCTGGGTGCTAGGGCCAGCCCCAGCCTGTCTCCCCCAGCTCCGCAGCATCAGCAAGGAGCCGGTGGTATGTGCCCAGGCCCCAAGATCGGCACCGGACCCACCTTTGCATCACGTTTTGCTTTCCTAATCAAGGTCATTCAGTACAGCCGCAATACCTGAGCAAACTAGCTAAGCAGCTGGGGTGGAAGTTGGCCTGACCACTGAAGGTCAAGTGTGCACTTATGCATATTCAAAGCTGCCTGCAGGATCGATCGGGTTTTAATTGTTTTTCCTGGGGTTTTGGAAGGAAGTGCCAGGGGCATTGATCAGTCCCAGACGAGGCCGCTCACACTTTGGGGCTGGCAGGGACCATCACTGTGCTGCAGGCGGAGGGAAATGTGGGCAGAGAGGCAGAGATGAAGGCAAGCCAGGGGAGAGGTCAACCAGCCCTGGCCGGGAGGAGGAGCAAACGCTGGGCTGCGTTGGAAAATAAAAGTTTTTTAATTAAAATTGGCAATTCTGAGCCGCCTGCCGGCAGCAGCCACACAATCAAGAGTGAGGAGCTTTGCTGTTTAATATTTAAAGACAATGTTTAATCTTTAAACAGTAAAGTTCTTCTTCTGACTGTTAAAGCAAGGCAGAAAGTGCCGGAGGCTCCCTGACCTGGGGTTCCCCAGCCTGCCAGGGTGTCTGTGGCCACCAGCTCACCGCAGCCGCCGGGCCACCGGTGTTGACCGCAGCCACTCTCCCATCAGCTCCACCACCACTCCCATCAGCCCCGCACAGCTGCCAACAGTGGCACAGACCCCTGCCCCTTCAGTGCTTATCCCTACGGCAAACCGTGAGAAAGTCTGAGATGCCCCTGGTTCGCTCGCAAGCCAAAGGATTTAAAAAAAATGCCATGAAACCCTTTTTGCAAGGAAATCGCACTAATTTGTTCCTCCCTCTGGTTTAGTCCTAGTGTTGCAGGGACTGGGTTGCTCCCTTTTAGGTCAGACACTGAAGCAGGGCCAGGACCCCAAGGCATTTTATTTTCATCTGCATTTTAATTGATAAAAATGCAAGCATCTTTTAAAAAAAGCTATTTTTAAATGGTTTTGGTCAAACTTCTGATTTAGAAACAAACTCAATGCCTCTAATCTGCTAAAAACCACCCAAACAATGTTAGCAGAATAATTTTCAAGCAGCTTGAACACAATTATTTCCATTCATACCAGCTCCTAGAAAGGTCTTCCTTTTCTACTGACTTTGTAATTCTATGAGGGCTACATTTACCTCCCTGCCAATGCCGCTCTGAAGTCAGATGATTATTAATTATATTTATTTACCTACACAATCCCATAGGCATACGCAGCAGTTCACAGACAAATACCACCCTGGGTCCCTGATGTAGGGATCCTGAATCAAAGGTAAGCAGATACTCCTGTGATAAATGTGAGCTAACAGCAGCAGGAGATGAGGATCATACCGTGTTTCCGTGCATAGAGCCAGGACCACGGCTAATCCATACCTCGTTAGACGTGCCAGTATGGGGAGGCAGCTCCTTAGGTAACCTGTACCTCACATAATCCACAGAAAATCCAAAAACCAGAATTGGGGATAAGACATGGGGTACAGCAGCCTGGGGCATGGAGGTGCTGTGCGTGCAGAATCACAGCATCTGAGGCTGGCTTTATCATAAAGCAAAAAGGGTCTCAAAGTGTCCTCCTGTTACACTGGGTCACAAAACTTGCCAGTGGCCATGATGCATCTGCCTCAATTTGCAAAGAGCCTGAAACAAGAGCTCTGTGGCCCATTTCTGGTAGCGGTGGGGGACAAAGACAATCCTCTGCGCTGGGACAGGAGGGCATGGAGGGCACACCAGCAAGGCCAGACAGTGCCATGGTGTTGCTTGCAGGGGGCAGAACACAGGATTTGTCCAGTTTGGCACTGAGTTCACCCTGCCTGCCCTTTCTGCAATCCCAGTGCAAACCAGCCCTCGTCCCCACCTCGTCGGCAGCACCGACACAGCCAGGTCCTGATGCCCCGCTCCTTGGAGCTTGTTTGGGTTACACACCACAGTTTATAAGCAGCACAGCTGCGGAGAAGATGTTCTGGGGGTCAGAAAATTCCCAGAACTGGAACTTGTCAAGCTGATGTATTGATCTAAGTGGACTGAATAATGCTCCATCATTTATTTACGGGGAGTAGCCGGCACACTTCACAAAAACTGGTGCTTGGCAGTCACATTAAGGCAAGATTTAACATCCCGCAACATGCAAACAGGGCACCTGCGCAGAGGTCAGGATGCTCACTTAGACGGGGAGCCCCACAAATCCTTCCCACACGTGCAGGGAGGGACGAGGCTGGTCCTCACTGAGTTGTGGGAGCTCTGCTAGGGCAACGGGTCGATGCCGACAGAGCCAGCCCTGTCCTTTCTGCATGTGTCAATGCTGTGACCTGCTCGGCCAGCCCCCAGACCCTCTGCCCTCCACTAAAGCTGCCGGTGTTGCGCTGCCCTGGGCGCTTTAGCTGAAGGGCAGGAGGGAAATGGGGCTCTGCGCTTTGCAACAGAACGAGCATGTTCACAAACCATAGCAGCAAGAACTGCCAGGACCAGCACAGAGCCTCCTCCTGCCTTGCCCAGCCCACAACCCTGTCGTTTTTCATGTCCCATCAAGAGCTTTTAAATGTTTCACCTACTAATCATAATTTTAATATTAATACGAACACTTTCAGGCAAGGAGAAAATACTTCCTTTTGGAAAAAATCCTCCCAGGAGCATAGGGGCTCAGCAGTTTGAGAAGATGCTGAAGCGTGGGTACTAAGGAATAAAAAAAAGTGCCTTTTCTTTCGCTGAAAGTTTCCATTAAGAATTTCAAAAAGATGCCTGAGAAAACCACGTTTTTAAACAGATAGAAAGCTGCTGTGAGATCTCCCCAGCTGCCCTCGGCTTGGGCAAGCAGCGCGCACCAGCTGTGCTCCCCCAGGATCAGGCTGGGCAAAGCAGCCTGCCGATCGGAGCTGACCCCCCTGACATTTTCGCAATGGAGAAAATGACTTCGCGACAGCAAAAGCGTCTTCCTCCTCTTGTCATGTCAGCTGTGC